TGAACGTCCGGTGAAACTGTTTGACAATCAAACATCCTCTCTCGTTCCTCGCTTGGCCCCTCTTTCTTTGACTGGCCCACTGACTGTCGCTTCGGCGACATCGTCAGATTATGAAACGTCCTGTACACGCCACTTTCACTATCGCGGCCAAGTTTCATAACTTGGTTATTATCGAGGTCATACGTAGGTTGGGGAGAGAAGCCGGCGGTGAAGCAAAGAAAAAAAAGGGTCTCCCTATCGTTATCGAATCGCCGATTTCCGCGAGCCGATCGACTTCCACGAGGAACACGGTTCCGCTTTTATTTACAATGTGTTTAATGACAATGTGGACGCCGTAGTATGAGAGAAATATTCGCTTTGTAAAAGATTTCGCACAGATCGAAAGCAAGATCTGAAGATATTATTACGCGCCCGATCAATACTAAACGTACCAACGGCCGGTCAAACGAACCGGTATGAAAACTTGAATCTAATTTCTTTCCTCCGAAAGATTGACAGAGATTGTCAGGATTTAAAAATTATAAATTTTCTCTCTTCCGAATTATCCGAAAGTTATTTCGTGCATTTCCTGTACTAAATTGACAATTACTTTCGTAGAAATCAATTTCCTTTCGTAGAAAGATCTGATCAATTAAAAATTGCCGGTGCATTTAATGTTAACGCTAGTACTACCAAAATGGTCGAAATGACCAATTTACGACGTGAAACAGCGTATTTTTAGCGATTTAAAAATAATTTTTCGTAAAATGTGTAAATAAAAGCTTGCGTACTCCACTCTATTATAAATATATAAAACTATTCTATTTCTCTTACTTTAATGTCCATAATTTATGTTTTATTCGTCGGTCGTTAATATTATTTCCGGTGTACTTTCGATCCGTGTGAAATTTTTGGCAAAAAAAGAGTACGTTCTTTTCCAAGAAATGGCGTCTTATCAAACGTTAACTTCGAAAAGATCATCCGTTCGCCTGTAAACCTGTAAATCTGCGTGCCAAGCGGAAACGAGTCGTATTTCGTGCTCTTTAGCCGCGGCGATGAATCGCTGGGGGAAATTAATCGCGCGAATACCATTTAATTTGGCGGCCGCGACGTCGAAAAAGGGCCGACGCTGAGCTGCCGAGCATCGTCAGAACAATATTCTCGTTGACTCGGTGTTCCGAAAGCTGAGAGAGGAAACCCCGTGGTACTCGCCCCTCCCGTGGGGAAATGCGGCCCGTTTCGAATTAACGTTCCTCGCTCGTGGAAGAGAAGTCGTTCTTGTTTCACGAAACGCAAACTGAACGCAGCGAACGAAAAGGAGCGGACAGGCGAGAGGCAATGTGCGCGCCGCGTACAGAACGACAATTTCGTGGAACGATGAAAGAGAACGGGTTGTACAAAGAGGAGGACACGGAGAGGCCATGAAGAGAGGAGAGAAAGAAAGAAAGAAAGAAAGAGAGAGAGAGAGAAGGGGATCAGGGTGAAAACAGAATCACCGAACACGAGTACGCATGCTTTTTCGAGGGTGACTCCCTGAAGCAGCGTGCACACTCGGTGTCCCGAATTATCCTTTAGAAATTCGCGTTACGAGAGAAGAAGGAACTCGTTTCATCTCGTTCGTGACATACGAAACATTTTCAGTCCGTTATTATCTATCAGGTCTCCTGACTGTAGCCAACATCTAAAAATGCCAAATTAAGTTCAACTGTTATATCTCTTAATTCGAAACCCAAGCTTTAAATCTTGGAACGACGAAATGACGAAAGTGTCGATGAAGAAAGAGACGCAACAGCTGCTGCATCGTCCTGTGCGACGGAAAGGAGTTGTTAAACCTAATGAAGAATTCATTTCATTACGATGAAATTTCTGTAATACGTTGTGAAATTTACTGTTTGTATCAGAGACTCGTAGTTTACTGTTCACGCGAGGCGTGACGAGTATTTTTCAGGTGATGATACTTCACGCGAAAAGATACTAACAAGACACCCTGTATGATACGCGAAGCATGCACGGAGGGAGAGAAATCCGCAGGAATTGCCGAGTAAAGACGATGTCTGGCAAAGTTGCGGCGTTCACCCTCGAGCACCCAGTCATCTCCCGTCTCGGGGATATTTAATATGCCGTACCGGGGTTAGAGTTTCCATCAAACGACCGAGAACCGGATAGATGCGCGAAGCCAACGCCGGCAAACTTTTTCTGCGAGACAAAGCGTCGGCTCTATCGATTCAACCGGTTTTATCAGCAGCCTGAATACAGGGTCGACTTGATTATCTTATTGAAGAGGTACCGTGTGATGTGACAGCCTGCCTTTTGTCACTCGTTAGGCACGATATACCAAAATTCGACGGAACACCGACTAGGAGAGGCTAATTTTGGAGAAAGTGGGTCCACCACTGGAGAACTAAGCGAGATTAGAACAGATTCAAGAGAGCTAAACGAAACTACCGAAACTATCTGCCGAAGCTAAACGAGGACTCGAAACGTCTTTTACAGAAGATTGGAAGATCCTGATTGCTCTTTTTTGGATTATTAATTGAAAAGAAGTTCGAAATCCAAGATCTGAAGGGTTCGTTTTTGAATGAATCGATGTCGAGCAATTATTAGAGTCAAAGTTGTACGATGCACTTGATTCTGATTGAGCAGTTTGATCACTTTTTTTCTAGATAATAGATCATCGCTAAGCTACTTCAAATATTTACTTTCACTTACCAAACAACGTGAAGTGTTCGTTTGAAATTACAATTATGTCCTGCGTATGAGAGTATTGTAAATCAACCGCGGTATAAGTCGCAATTTGAATGAATAATTTAAATAAAACGTAGCGAATAATTATGATTAACGGGGGAACCTTTATTTCTCTGTCTATTTCCATCTCTTTCCCTCGTTTCTACTCGTTCTTTTTTTTTTTTTGCTTTCTACCATTGTTTCCGTTATCGCGTTGCATTTGTTTTGCAATTTCATTACGACTACGCCGCATTATGCACTGCACAAACTCTTTCAACTCTCGCAACTCGTAACACAAGTAATTAAACAACATAGGTAGGTAAGCAACTGTTATTAAAATAAAAAGAGGTAAGTTGTTCGCGGTTATTTTCTGTCTCGTTGAACGCTGCTTTTACATGGAAAACGCGCGAGCTTTCAGCAACCGCTGGTAATTGTTTTTAATATTGCGCGTTATACGTTTTACTTCGTCAAAAGTAGAACGCTTAATCATTGTTCTTAACCGTTGTGAAATAATCCCCGAACCAGAAATTGAAGCGCGTCATAATCTTCTCAAATTCAATCCGTTTTATCAAAAATGAGACACACGGCAGAGCCATATTCGAAGTGATGGGAAAACAGAGGTGCTTAGCTAAGTATTTTCGGATAATTGAACTCAGCGCATGATACAGCACTCGTATTTGTCTTGACAAACTGTCATCGTATTGTAAATAAAAAAAATTAATATTAATATTAAGTAAGGAAAATATTAAGTAAGGAAATAGAAAATATTATGTAAGGAAATAATAAGAAAATATTAAGTAAGAAAAATTGTCAAGAGATAATTTTTTTAACTGCCTTTCGTTGAGAAGAAAAGTTTAACTTTACATAGCCTCTATTAAAACTTGAAGAAACTGATTCTTATTGTTTACCATCTTTTCTAAATGATCGTAAAAATTTCACAGTCTTCAGCAAGCATAAAAGTCGAAAGAGAAAAATTAAAACGAGAGAGAGAGAGAGAGAGAGAGAGAGAGAGAGAAGGTGATATTGTAACAATGGAATATTATTTAAACGTGGTCATGTGCTCACAAGCAAACATAATGACGAGGACGCATATGGAAGGAATCATAGTCGAGATAAAAGAGTTTCATGAGTCATACACGTAGAATCTTGACTTGATGATCGTAAGTGATCCTTGACGCTTAACGGCTCCACGACCTCGATTTTGGTTAAAACAAGCGGAAATTGGTTAAGCGTCCGCGTGCACCGCTTTTGTGTCATTCTGTGCGTCAGCGAATCATCGACATCATAGTGCTCGTAATTCGGGATTGCCATTTTTGCCAGTGCAATCTTTTGGGCTAATTCGCGTTCGTGAGAAATCTCGTATGATAATATCGAGGGAAAAAAGAAATCTGTTTTACCGATCGAACAGAAAGCGCTTCGATTAGAAATGGAGATTTTGAATCATGCGAATGTAAATGTAAATGTTAATGATCATCAGATGGAATCGCAAGAAGAAATATAAAAAATAAAAATAAAATACTAAGTTGCATCTACACTAATGAGATTATTAAGTAATGTGATAAATATCGTTCGACGTTTATTCTACGCGAAATAAGTTAATACGAAAGTAAAAGGTAATGGCCGCCGAAGAAATAGACAGACCACTCGGAGAAATTGGTTTGTCTTGAGGAAAGTGAAATCCGCATGACTGTTATGTGATATTAATGACAAAAAACGGACAAAGCTCGAAAAAAAAGGTTATAACAAGTTTCACTACATTTTGATATTTTGGCATTCATTATTACAAATATAAACCTGATTTAATAACAGTGAAACGAAGTGAAATGTTAAATAAAATACAACTGACATAAATGTTGAATAAAAGATAACTGATCACTGAATCACGTAGTAACTACCCATGACAGCTGTTCGAATTTGCACTTTTCAAAAATAATACAAGTTGCAAAAATTCAATAAATAATGAAAGATTCACATAATGAGATTTCATAACAATAAAATCTCATCTCTAGTTACATAATTCTAGTAATTAAAATTCCAACACTATTCCGATATATATATGTAGATACACACAAACACACATATAATGATCAATAACCTATATTGTGTATTAATCTCGCAATATCTTAGCCGTTTTAACTTGATTTTTAGTAGCAATAATAACGAAGAAATAAGAAATCATACGATTCTCTGATACAGAAATCATTTACAAATAAATATAGCGCAATAAATAGAGCTATTTTGATACAAATTAACAAATAACTTTTTGAATGTTACTTCTTACTTACGTTACAGCTTCCCGGCACGTATGAAAATCCTGAACAATGAAATTCCCGTTCTCCTGTGCTTCTACTTGAAATGAACGATATTAACAAAGTATTTACAACACTTTTACTCAATGAACAAAAATGAATAACATTTTCACAAATGAACAACTAATTTAAAATAATTTTAGAACCGGTACCGACGCACAATTGCAAAAGACTGTTTAAAAAGACTGGAAACTGTGAACGACATCTAGTGGTGGAAATCAAAATTGGATAATCCCATCGATAAAAAAGGTTACTACATTCTATATATAAGGCTGAAAAAATTTATTCCAAATGTTTATTTATATAATAAAATTGTATCATTTTTCTAAAATGATTATTATATATATATTATATTATATATATAAAACTTATATATATAAAACATAATTTACATAATATTTTTTAAATGAAATGAAATGAAACCTGCTGTTTATAAATAGACAAAAGCTGCTAAATATAATAATTGAGCATATATATAATGTTAAATATATATTAACAAAAATATTAAAAACATTAAAGGTTAAGAACACGACCATATTTTAGACTTTCGTGTTCTTTTTTCATATAACATTCAATTTATTGTTTATTATATAATAAATTAATCAGTTTTGTTGATTGAACTCAATGTTGTTTACGACATTGATAATCATATGTATCATTTGGAAAAGAATTTTTTAAACCTATCTATCTACACAAAACAGATAAGACAACACACTAGACAAAAACCTAAAACCATTTTTTATCATAATCTATTTAAATTTGTACGTGAATATACTGATAATTAATATACTTCTTTGCATTTCGATAATGTAACAAACATACTATTGTAATATTATTAATAATTATTACAATTAATGGAATTTTATTGAGAAAAATCAATATGAGAAAATCTGAATGCAATTATAACTTAGACTGACAATTTACAAACAATTTACAAAGGCAATATTTTAATTGAATAAAGTCAGTATTAAATAAACTACTTAATATAATATCATATGATATATCAATGCCAATATTAAGATAACAAGATTAAATGACTCACCGAAACATATATGCCATAAGAAGTGTAACTACTTCAGTACCACAGTAAATACGTTTACAAATTACCTATAACAGTGAAAAATAACCAGTGTAAGAATTAAAAAATTACAATTTTTATTTTATATGTACATTTTATTTAAAATGGTATTCTTATTTCATTATCAAATAATAAGATAGTGAATATATTGAAATGAAAGAAAGAAAAAGGTGTTTTGTGATTTAAAAATTAATTTTGGACTTCAAAGCAAGAATTAACAAATGTACATTATAAACAAAGATCTACATTTATACGAAGCAATAAACTTGATTTGTTACATTCTTGTAACAAAACAAAAGACCAATCACTGTAGCTATTTCTTGCTACGAGTTAAAGGTTATATGACATAAAAAAAATTGATTGACAATACGACAATTAAATTATCACGTCTGATTCAAGTCGATAAGAGTAATTACTTGGTCATTGTATACTTGCCAAAGTCAAGGTCGTCCAACTTGCCATTGTAAGGTCAAGTCGTTATGTTTACAATGTCAAATCGGAACTGTAATTCACGCAAAGTTGCACACACGCACACGCACACTAACATTTTCAACGAACTTACGATATTGTTCGTAGCTAAAAAAAGGCAAAGCATCCCAGCAGAACTGAATAACCCCGTTAAAAAAGTTCTATGGTAAAAAGTTAGGTTAGATCAAAATCGAACCGTACAACAAGCCGGTAACTGCATACTGCATTATACCATTGTACTTTTGATAATGTCATAATGTTTCACATGATGCTGACTGTCTCTTTTAGATTTTATTCGTCACTGAACTATAAGAAATTACAGTTGCTAACTAATGTAACTACCTATCAAATTGTAGAGTACACGCATTAATAATTTATTTAATCTTTCGCTAGCGCGTAATTCCGCCAATTATCTAACGTATATGGCATCTTATAGCTGTTACTGATTCTAAACACTACCCGGCTATCGTGTCATAATCGCACGTAAAAAAAAAATAATAATGCACGATACTACCACTGGCGCTTTGTATCTGAATGGTGCCAACAATGCGCGAATGCTACCAACATGATATTGGAAACATATCTTAACCACAGACGAGGTATCGAAATAGATCAAGCATCTTAAAAGATTTCGTGGCCTCTGACCTGAAATACCGACATAGTAAAAATCATTGATTTTAAGTGCGTCCACAGACGAGGTATATGAATAGACATTGCATACAATCATTAACCAAAAATAGTATAGACCGTACTATATTAAATCAGGATTCGTGTCTGAAATAGCAACCAGAAAAAATATCACTAGTTTTCTAGCGCACTCTACGCTTAAACAACGGTGTATTGGAGAACTACGTCAAAATGATACAAGTTGGTTGAGGAAAATGATATCAGTGTTGTTACAGTGTTATTAATAGTAACATTGACTAATAGTTAATGGTTTAAACGTAGAGTGCGCTAAAAAACTAGTGATTTTTTATTATGTCGGTATTTCAAAGCATGAGACACGAAATTCCACAAGACGCTTGGTCTATACATACACATCATCTGTGCACCAGTGATTGTAGATGTCGCATTCTTCATACTATTTGAATCTGTCTACCTAAAAACAAGCGCGAAAACGTATAATGTTAGTTTATCATTCGGGGTAGTTTGTAACAATACTTGTTAGTGTTTAGTAAGAATTTAGCCAAAATCATGACAAGTTTATTAGACCTCTGTGAACAATATTTTGGAGCTCGTGATTTTTACGAAGTTTTAAAAATATCGAGAAAAGCCAACGATAAACAAAGTACGTAAACATAACCTTTCTATTCAAGTGATTTCTTACGTTTTCATATATTCACTTCTCAGATATGAAAACGTTACATTTTAACATAGAATAACAATTATTGTTGATATTTTTTTTAGTAAAAAAAGCATATCATCAATTATCTCTGCTTGTACATCCCGATCGTGTTGAGGAGGATATTAAGGCAGAAGCAACAGAAAAATTCAAAGTCCTTGGACGGATTTATTCTATTCTTAGTGACAATGAAAAACGTAAGATTTATGACCAGTCTGGTCAATACGATGAAGAAAGCGAAGAAGTTATGATGAGAAACTGGGCTGACTACTGGAAGTCTCTTTTCAAAAAAATTTCAGTAGAGGATATCAATAATTATGAGAAAAACTACAAAGGCTCTGAAATAGAAATCAAAGACTTAAAACGGGCATACATGGACAGTAAGTAAATTTACCATAGTTGTGTTTATTACTCTAGGAAAACTGAATCAATGAATTTAGTTTATCGGATCGATCATATTTTTGTAGGTAAAGGAGATATGGATTACATCCTAGAAACTGTTCCATTTACTAATTGTGATGATGAACCAAGAATTCATAGTATTATCCAAGGACTCATTGAAAAAGGTGAAGTTCCAGAGTACAAAGCTTTTACTGAAGAAAATGACAAAAAGAAGCAACGCAGGAAACGCAAGGTAAGTGTCAAACACAGAATTACTAGTATTATCTGTGAATTTCATTCTTGTATCTATGCAACTTTATATTTCTATTTTTGCTTAAACTTATGTTCTTATGTAAAAAAAAAAAGTATGGAAATAGTATCTTCACAGAGATATTTTTTACTTGAATGTTTAACATAATAAGCATATTCTAAATATTTTGACACTTCGAAAAATTTATAGTTCATACATTTATATAACAGAAATTCCCAATATTTATAATTACTTATTATAATTGTAATACTTAATAATATATTTCTGTTCAATTACGAACGGAACGTTAATAACACGTTAATAAATGAAATTCACACTATTCAAGGCTATTCGAGGCTACTATCCAAAAAGCAATATAAATTATCGTTCAAGCAGAAAATTTATTCGTTGTTATGAATATTTCGCGTTTATAACGTACATTATACATTATGCAGTCTTACCGGTATCAAATTTATCGATAGGAAACGGCATGCGTTCGAGTGGCAATGCGCTCGTAAATTTAAGCACGGCATCCCACCCCTTCAATTACGCTATAGATCACCTTACTGATCTAATGAATAGTAAGTGAGCAGCATGCTATTTCCAAGCTTTCTATTTTTATCAATACATAGTACTGCTTGGAAGCAGTAGTAGGAGGTGGACTACTAGTACGACGATAGGGAGGGGAGAATACTAGTAAATAAGTAAAGAGGGAACGCAGGAGAGGATTCAGTCTACAGAACAATTAGATTGGCTCCTAGCTGATCGCTAGACGTCGCAGAGTTTTCGGCTAAAATCCCTACCACGATGACTGCAATCCTTTAAGTCGTTTAAATGTACCAGAGCTGAATAATGATACATACTTTGTATCGCATAGAACAGTAATTAACGTGAAATAATTGAAACAATACCGATTGTACGATTATTTAAAATTAATAAGAATGGGCGGCATCGTCGGGCTGTTGCTATACATTGCATTGTGTGCAAGTGTCGGTGGTGTACAAGGGGCGTGCAGACAGTTGGAGAACAACGACATGATAGAATATCTCTGCACAGGTGGCCAGTTGTCCGATTTGAACGATCTTCCCTCAGAAACTGGGAAAATTCGAATCTTTAACATGCCAATTGGACGGATAACTGCGGACACCTTCTCGAGGTTCGGCTCGGATCTTTGGGTCCTGGGATGCTCCCATTGCGGTATAACGGACATTGATCCCAACGCTTTCCAGCATCTGAATAACCTTCAACAATTGAGTTTCGACAACAACTATTTGACTACCATAAAGAAATCCTGGTTCAAAAGTTTGGATTACTTGACGTACCTGGATGTAAATTACAATAACATAGAGTCTATCGAGGCTGGCGTGTTCGAAAACTTACCCAGCCTTGTTGAGTTAAGGCTCTCTGGTAATCGTTTAGAGTGCCTAAATCTTGCATCCATGTCGAACCTAAAGGAATTAAGAAGAATATTTTTGACTGAAAATCCCGAGTTTAAGTGTCCAAACGCTGTCAGCGCGTTCCTCGAAAGTCGCGGAGTAAGCTTTGAAAAGGACCCAGACTGGAATAGATTCCCAACTGATTTAATTACAGCGGAAGTACCGTATGATATCTACTACGAAGAAAGTATGGAAGAACCGTCCACATCGTTACCTGTCTTCCGCGAGAGATTGCACCTAACTACAACAGCATCTCCAACCGTGGCATCGACAGTATCGTACGTTCCGCCGAAGTTCCACACAACTGAAGAAGTAGTTTATCGTCCGTATAACACTCCAGATTGGAGGACAATTTCAGGAACAACCACCGTCCCTCATGATAACGGACCAGAAACCACAACTCTATCGTACGACGAAGATCAGAATATAAGAGCACCGTATACGCCTCCAAGAACCATCGCACCAATCGAAGACGAAAAGTACTCACAGCGTGAAACGGTACAGTACGGCAGCCAAGACACAACGACCTTGAGTTCTTGGCCAAGAACCTCGGAATCTGCCAGTGCCAGTAACGAATACCCGGTTTATCCACCCCATAGAAACGAGGATAAACATTACACGGAACAACCGGATAATTCGAGGCTGCCTAACTCGCACTTGCTGGCACCAGGCCAAGACGATCGTCACCAGACTATGCCACCGTATGTGGATTTTGACGCAGAGCGCATAGATCCCTATTATGGGGCCGATTGGTCAGAAAGGAACACCGTACGTGGACCATCGAACGTGGAGTATCCACCTGTATCTATACCCAGCGTTGTGGAGTATCCACCTGTATCTGTACCCAGCGTCGAAAGTAGAGCGCCAGAATACTCAGTTCCATCGGTGGACTCGTCAGACACCACCAATTCGATTCAATCTATCCCCCGTGTGCCGACCGCGATGATTCAACCGGCTCATCCCGATAATGTCTATCAGCCACCGTATTACGAGCCCACGATCACTGTTCATTCACCGCCATTGATAACCAATCAGCCACAGCAGGAGAATACAACTCCAGGAATCGGGCCGATTGAGACGACCACCGATAAACCATTGCCCAATTGTCCAACTAGGAATTTATCGTCGTCGAATCGCGGCTCCGTCGCGGTGATCATCGTTTCCCTTGTTCTTGCTTGTCGCGTCCTTGTGGAGGGATTTTAGCTAAACGTCTCGCCAAACTACTTAACATTCGTCCGCATATTCTGATCGAATCTCCGACAATGGATCAAGTTTTCGTTGACGACACATATGTTCGCGCGAACATACGCGGGTACGTTTGCTCCCGTGAGCATCATGCTGGTAGAACTGAATGGAAGGACGTTCGCCAGATCGCAGACTTTGGATCGAGTGACTTTAGACGTGCTGTTGGTTTCGTTCGGTTTAATATGATCAGTCTGAGAGACTTTGTTTTTCGTGATTCGCTGTCAGAGGAACCAACTGAGTTGATTGATTCTTCAGAAGCACCGCGGAGCCTGCAGAACCCAAGGCGTATGTATAGTATATCGCAATCTTGATTTATAGTTTCGTTGATTTAATCTTCATCCGATACGAACGACGTGCGTGATATTATAATTTTGTGCAAGTTGGTAAATTAATTTTTTCAATTTATTATTAGAAACGTGGGCTTGAGAACGTAACTTAATTGATTTCATTCTGATGAGTCTGTAACACGTAGATCACGGATATTTGTACAAATTAATAAACTATTGAATAATACAGACACTACAAATCTATAATATCATGATTTCAAAGTTACATGTACGTGTATATTTAAAAAATCTTATTCTACATATATATCTGTATATTATCAATGTATGAAAGAATTATATACGTACAATTCTCAATGAAAGGGTCGGTGAAACAGTATAATAATCAAGTGTACATTTATAATAGTACAGTAGTACATTTTTTCCCGAAGCAAATCAACAATTACAAAAATTTATATGCAGACTCTATTGTTATCTAAAAATTATTCAAATGTTCCTCTATAACAATAATAATTCAATTGTTATAAAGTATTATAAATCATAATTATAATACATAATTAATAAATTATAATTATGATTATATCACAAAGAATTAAATTATAAAACACGTATTAGCATAAGCATTCGCACGATCTGCCCGTTACTTACATTTGCATTATCATCAAAATGACAATCTCATTTTATTATATAATTAAAAATATTAATTTATCCAATTATACAGTTTAATGTGAAATTGCAACGATGACATATCGTTCACGATACATCGTGGCTTGGGTTGTTTGTTTGCTTGTTCTAAACGGCTGTAAAACGCACAACGGAGACGTGCATCGATTGTTTGCCAAGGAGGAACGCCAAATACGATTTCCGCGGCGGCGCGACGCTGAATATCAATTGAAACAGTAACAAGCGACGAGGGCCAATGCAATGTATCCGGTGTGCTAATGAAATAATTACTAATGTCGTTCAATCTAATGGCGAGCGTTATGTAACGACCTTGACCGGTGCACTTCGTCGAGTTGTACTGCGTTTCGCATTTCGTTAGAGACCTCTCAACCCTTCCGTATCTTCGACGAGATATCTCCGGCGATAGGAGGCGATGTCGTTCGCGCGATATCACGCGTGTTTTTCCCATTGACTCATTAAACGACGAAGTAACGCGAAAAAGTTGAGCAAATCTGACTCGAAGTAACCGATTCGCTCGTGAGAAGTTCAATCCTCAAGTGATATCGTCGGGTTGCCATTCGTAAAATTGAAAAATTGGGGCAAGGAGCATTTTCCATCTGAAACTCGGACACTCCCAAGCATTTTTTGCGCTTTAAATATCAGAATTTCGATGCTGTATGTTATCGAGTGCGTGACGCGATATCTCACAGTTGAATTGCAATGTGTTCGCATCTGGATTGCTTCTGATGCGGGCGCAACACTTAAAAATCACTGCTAGAGAAAGAGATGCATTGCTGTTCGTTATATTAGCATAAATGCATTCGACGTCCTCTTCATTGCAATAGAGGTATTTCACGCGTGTTAATTGGCCAGCGCACTTCTGATAGCTCTGAACAGTAAACGAGCATTGAGAGCATTTTGCCGGAAGTTTCGACCGTGCCATTTCAAATTGAAGAGCATCGATTGGATGATCCATCGTGAGCTCGATATCTCTGTCGATCTGTACAAGTGCATACACGCGCATTTCTAATGAGCGTAATAGTAATAATGGGAAAAATGAATAACATTGATCCACAGTAGGAAAGACAATTTAATTCTCATATGTGTTTCTTTTTTTTTTTTTTTTTTTTTTTTGCAATTGTGAAAGATCAGCGTTTCTTTCTTGTCTGTTTTCGTATACTTTTGTTTCAAAATTTCGGAGATTATGATAATAGTAAAATCTTTCTGATCTTCCTTCTTGTGACTTTGTAAATCCCCCTTTTCTAACTTTATACTCGTATTTCTTTATTTTAAAATCTTGAATCTATAATTAACAAAAAATTTTCTAATTTGCGATTTCTCCTTGTGATCTTGTAAATTTCGTTTCTCTTCTCTCATAATCTAATATTTCGTATGTTTAGAATCGTTGATGGTATCATAGACTGGTGTGTAAAGTTTCGTAAAATGAATTGTACTTTTGATTTTCTGATTTTGTGATCGTGTTTCTGCAATTTTTTTGGTTACATAAGCAACTATTTTTGATAGGCAATCTGATTCTAATGGATTTATTTCGGTTTATAGATAGATTGATATTCCATTAAGCTGTCAAACTCTATAGAAGTTTAATATTCGATCCATCAAATTGAACCTTTCTCTTTTCGTTTTTCAACCCAACTTTTTTTCATTTCGGTTATTTAAAATAATAAACCGAATCGAACGTTCGTGGAAATGATGGCTATTGCAAAGAATACCAGTGGATTAATGTTTAAATAACTCCTAAATGTTGAAATTGATTTTTTCGAATCTAATTCACCAAGTGTTTATTAATATAGATTGCATCGTTCGAGCAAGGTGCAATCGTTTTGAGTAAATCTCCCACTTTTCCGTGCATCATTCACAATAAGCGATCTATTCACACAATCGAACAATTGTACAATGGTCGTACATTCACACAATCGAGTTTGAAGATTTATGAATTAGCTTTGGAATTTCATAGAATTTCTTGACAAATTTTCAAACTCGATTTTCTCGAGAACTCGAACGAGGCCTCGAAACAAAAAAAAAAAAAAAATATATATATATATATATTATATTGTTTCCTTATTTTCACCAAGCAAGACTCACGTTTTCACATATTATTTCATACCGTGTACATTTGACACGTTTGACAAATATACCCGCCGTCTATTAATTTTAGCCGCACAATATATTTACTTAGCTATGCGCTCCTAAAATAGGATTACGCACTAGCGACTAACGGACCAAATAATCCGAACACAGGCTTTAAAATAAATCGCGGGACGAGGAAGCACTGATCGATCGATAATGTGTTTTAGTGGGTTATTTGCGAATGAAAGGCGTGCCAAATTACGCGCGTGCATCATCATCGTCGAGCGCGGAGAGAGAGGGTCGCGTTCTTCCGCAACCTTGAATCACCTCGTCTCGGGGCGTTTAGAGCGAACGACACATCTGGCCGCGAGCCTCGCGCTCCGGAAATCGCTCGAATCACGGAATAATTGAAAATAGTCAGTCGGGTTCGAGGCAACGCGCCGCTCGAGGTTGCATAACGAGTTCCCTACGAATTCCCCTGGCATCATCGTTCTGGAATTTCGTGGGAATTAATCCTACAAACATTCGATGACCTAGGGTCATCGATGACACGAACGTTTGCCTCTTGTTTAGCAACGTTGGCATTATCCAGCCTGGACGGGCCTTCGTTTTAATTTCCCTTGACACGGCGTGATACATCTTTGGCCTATCTTTGGCACGAATAACGCCAGAACTAGCTGGAGTAATCGAAACGAGCAGTTCATTACTTTTTTTTTTTTTTATTCCTTTTACGTTTAGAGGTTATGGGAGATTTAGTCGTCGGCGGTGTATAATTGTTGCTTTAACCCTTGAACGTTGGAAATGTCTCTAATAACTTATGTTATCAATATTTAAAATCGGTATTAAAGTCAAATTAATTTACGAAAATTAAAATATTTATGGCCATCGTGACAACTAATGATGCCAGTTTAGTGATAATAACACTTTTTGAAAGAAAGTAAGAAAATAATTGTTGTTTTTATTCTTTGTGAAAGAGTAGAGAAGTAATTATCGATGATACGCATCTTAATGGCATCTCCAATCTTTTTTTAGGGATAATATCATTTTTGTTCTAATTACAACTTAAAACATCATTCTTTTAATTTGTTCAATTATTTGATATCATATGTCGTGTATTTCGATTTTTGTTATTCTGAAATTCTTTAAATTTGTTTAATTTTAATTTAAAAATCTTTGTTGTTACATACTACATACTCATATGTTACGATTCAATTTCTTAAGTTGTCTGATGTTATACTGTAGACAGTATATACTATATCATATTTAGTTGCTCGATATTGTATATTATAAATTATAAACTAATGTTAATGTATAGATATGAATATGTTGTAAATTAATGCTTGAATCTTTTTATTTCTACTCGTAATTCGAGTGCGCATTTCATAAAAGAGCGAGAGGACAAGCGAGGCATTGTGATGAACTTCACATCTGATGGTAGCATTGGCACATGATGAGCTACACTTTGATCCCCGTCAGTAACAATAATAGTTTCTTTGCCGCCTGACGGTTCGAATCGTGCAATTCACTCGAATACTTAAACGTACACGTCACAAATTACAGCATCTTGAGAGTTGCAATAGAAAAACGCAATGTAGTTTATCGCAAAAGGGATCTCATTTTTATTTGACAGTATATGTACGTATATATCCAATAAAAATGGACAATTTGAAATATAGAATGTTAGCAAGGTGGAACTAATTAACAGTAACATGGAAAATGTGACTTTGAATTTTTATGCAAATTTCTGAGAAATAAAACATTTGTAAAAATAAATAAATTTCGAATATTTTACATATTCTTTTCTTCTCATTGTGTTTATTATCAGTTTGCACAATTTTAGCAAAGATAAATCGCATTTTTTTTCGTATCGTTATTGCATAACAGTTGTCTCATTGCGTGTTTGTTTATTTGTACGAATATTTGCATGAAAATAACAATGAAGTCAACGTGACCGAAATAAATCTTCCGAAGTATTTGAATCGCACTTAGGTTGGACAAGGAGGGACGAATCTAGGTAAAAGAAACAAGATTCTGCCAAACGAAAGTCAGGGTTAGATCATTGGTCAACTATGGTATCATAGCAGACATAAGTGTTGCGATTGAGGTTACTAATATATATACTTTAGACGATTTTAAATAATTTAGTGACTCTTCTATCGATTTAGAATCCTCTAAAATATTTATGGCGACTATATTATTAATATTACTGCATAATTTAGAGGATTTTAGGTAATTCACTGGCTCTTCTATCGATTCCTTAAATTGTTTATAGAAGATTTTACATTGAATTATGTTGTCTGTAGGTAAAATATTTCTTAGACTGAAGGAGTGAATGTTTTACAAGACTGTAGAAAAATAGAAAATAAGACACGGTGTCGTATCAAAATAAAATGAACATTTGTTATCGTTTCTTATAAAAAAAAAAAAAAAAAAAAATTGAGTAGTACAAAAGATACTTTTTACTTTGTGCAATTCCATTAAATTCCACTAAGAAAATTTAATAGAATCTATTAAATTTTCAAAGATATCAAATTCAAATTAATATCCCTCTTAAACATTCTCGATTAATTAACAGATCAGGTACCAACAAATTTTACCTTCTTGTAAGCCAATAATTCTTAAAGTCAAGCAGTACCGACATTTTGTAGAAATCAGACAACCTTGTATATCAGCACACGTTCATTTTATTCCGTTATGGCAACGTTTGGTATTTGCGACGAACAGGAGTGTTAAATCAATTTGTCAATTGTCCATTGCCCTTGTGCAGTTGGACAGACCACTTGTCAAACAATGGATTATTGGCTTTGCCTCGTCGTGTTTCAAGTCGAATGTCATTACGATAACCCGGGTACGTTCAGAATTTCGCGAAATTCGTTGTGTAATCGCCTAACATTAGGTCGCCCCTCAGATGTACTTGCCAGAAATTATAAATAACGGAATTTCCTCAGCGCCGGATTATGGAGTAGGTCACTGGGAATATGGAACATCATCGACGAGCGTGAACCATGAACAGCCAGCGTCTGCTTCTAATGAAAGATGCACGTACCGCGCTTCAAAAGTTCCAAGAACTTCTCTGTTTATAAAATTCTGTCGTTTCTAGGTAAATAACGAATCACACGTTAGGCCAGGTTAGGTTTTGGTACGAACATAGAATCGATGAGTAACCGACAGATTAATCAATCTCACTTAACGCAGCACAGATTGTGAAAGCTTGGACAAGTTTATGGTAAATATCGAAATCGTGTGACAGTTTTTCAAAGAAGAAATATTTTGCGTTTGAAAATTTCATTAATACTCCGTGTACATTCCACGTGATGTATTTTAGGTAATTCGAATTTGAATAATTAATTATATAATTCATTGAATTATTCAATGAAGTCGCGTATCAACTTGTGTAAGAGTATAAAACGTCCATAATAAAAATGAGGCTTTCTTGAGTGTGAGATACTCGTCGATTGTTTTACATATTAAATGTAGAGTATGCTGTATTATTGAACATTAAGGCGTTGTATACTTGTTTCATTTAAAAGATGGTACATGTTCTCATTCTTCTAAAAGTTAATTGTATCATATATCACTCGTGTTATTACATTAATGTTAATAATTGTTCGTGAGCAGACTATGGATGTTTCTGCAAATTCATATTTTCGATGATATATGACTACAAAAATTTACTTCACGTGCCAAATATTATAGAAAGCATTGTACTCTGGACGTTCATATATTTTTTTTCATACATCGTGCTCATTTTTTGATATTTAAAAATTTCCTGCATAGAAATCCTCTGCTCTGATGATTAATTTCAAAATGATAAGATTTAACGGGCGGAATAAAAATGCACGATCGACGAGCAATAACAGATACGACCAAGTTGATCGATAAATCAGAGGTTGTGCAGCCCCGGCGTGCTTATTAAGTAAGTTAATTAAGAGCACTTGACGACACGCGTAACCCTATTTTCGTTGACTAGCCATACGCCTATCCTCGAGATTATCAGACTCGGTTGCCTTTCGACTTCCTCGGTTTCTGCACGTCAGCTAGCGCTAGTTTAATTTTAACGAGGGGATCATCAAAAGTGGAAGATAATAAAGACGCTGGTGCCTCGATTCGGCCACTGACGAAATACCGTTCGTTTCTATTTTCTACACGAAAAACTTTCCAACGGGGCGCGGCCGACATTTTTTCGTACATCTCGATGCCCGGCCGACATCAGAAACTCGTGATATTTTGACGGAATCACTCGGAACGATGTCCGAGTAGTCAGAGTCAAGAATTAGATTGGCGAATGTCGAGGTAGAATGTTAGTCACAGTCAGAAATTAGAATTGAAAATTGAGATGGTTGTTACTGAAACTGCGGATTTTTTGATGGAATTTATTTATTATTCTGTCAAGAAGAGTTGAAAATTGAGACGGTTGTTACTGCATTGCGGATTTCTGATAGAATTATTTATTATTTGATAACTGTGAGAATTTTCTATTTTTTTTTTTTTTTTATTGTATTTTCAAAAATATGAAAATTGCATAAAAGTTCGCAGCCCAGTCATTATATATGATAGATAAGGTTAATATCGGTTGGTGAGATTAGTTAGCTTTTGTTGGTCGTTTATAATTGACAATACAATCAATATTGCAAGCATATAAATATTATTAAAAATAGATTAAGGTTAATTAGAAATTATTTATATCCATATTATTTAATCTATTGTATCAATTGAACGTGTCGAAAAAAGAAGTGCACGCTTAATATTAATTAGTTATAAACTAGATGTACTTGTTGTTAGTTTCTTTGTTAAAAATATTTATACGTTCAAGTTTTTCCTGCATAATCATGATACATATCTTTGATCTTAATACAGTATTATATAGTGAAACTTCAAAAGGAAGAAAGTGTATTTCTCTGTATTTCACTTTCAATTTTTTAAAGTTATGTAGAAATTAGAACAAATGTGAGAAAGAACATGCAAAATTAACGAAATATCTACGTAACAGCATGGCTCACGGACTAATCACTTTTTGTAAGTAACATTGTTTTATTTCTCTGAATTTGCTGCGTCAATTTAAGTTTTACTTTATCAGTGATTATCAAACGCACTTAGAAAGAAAAAATATAAATCATATACATGTAATTAACGAGTCAAATCTGCTGATTACATTTTAATCAAAATATGTAAATTTATTAGAAATATCATCGTAAGTAGTTGGAAGTAACGAATGACGCTCATTTTAATTTTCAGTGGGCGAAAGAAGCAGAGGAAGCTGAGCGTCTAGAGAAAATGCAGAAGATCGAAAACGAGGAAAACGCAGCTGCAAACAATTTGGCGTTGGCAATTCAGCACCGCAATGAGGCCAGAGCGAGTCAGTCTGCCAAGTTCTTCGACTCTTTGATCGACAAATACGCGAACATGGCTGGAAAATCGAAAAGGAAGAGCTCGCCTGCGAAGACCCCGAAAACCACGAGAAATACGAAGAAAACAAACAAGAAAACGTAGAACGATAGAATTCTCTGCACGAATCTTTCCCTCCACGTTAGAATATTCGCGCGATTTTTATAACTTAATTGTTAATAATTAAAAAAAGAAAAAAATATCGTACCATAACAAACATCTTTATAAAGAAGGAACGATCGTATTTAAGTTTTGTAAATTCGAAACGTGCATACCGTCTTTCTAAGCCGTTGAACTAGGATTCGATAAAGTCAATAACGGAATCCTTTGTAATTATATGTAGGTATAATATCATGTTCAAATATAAAATTGAAATATATACACGCACTTTCGGATTTATTTTGGAAGATAAGATTAATGTGATTATTAATAAAAAGAAAATAAAATGGTTCAGGTATATAATTTATCACACATAAAAAAAAAAATGTACGCACGTTACTTGTAATTTATAAAAATTAATTTTGAAATAGGCGGTTCTATTTCAACCATCGATATTTAAGAGATATTTCTTACCACATGGTGGTACTGTGTTCTATATTATCGACTATCATTTGCCTTCAATACCACTCCTATATGGTAAAACAGTTTCAGTGATTCTCATTCATTTTTACTTATCAATATGTTTTTTTACTGTTATAATTAATTTTAAATAACGACATATATAGAGTAAATGTATCAAAATGGAAAAGAAAAATAGTAATTTTAAAAATACTAACAGAAAATGGAAATAATTATTGATATGTTTTATATAATGTCATTCATTTAAAAATAATAATAAAAATCACTGAAGTAATTGATCTGTCATATGACTGATCATTAATCATTAATTGAACTGAAATTCCGCGTTCACCACAGAGTTAAAGATGAGAATGAAAGAAAAAGTTGGTCTACCTGTTTTCCCGCTCCAGTTAGGCTTAAATTTGATAAGCCGTGATAACGATGACGTGTTAGTACTTTCTGATCGGTGTTAGTGGACATGGTGTATAACGGGCATCATAAATGGTCTTCTCATATGGTCGATCTCGTGTTACGTCTGGACTAACTCGAACAATACACCATACATCGGGTGACACACTTTAAGGTAAACGGTACATCGTCTTTTCCCTCGGTATAATTTAAAATGTTCCTCGGGCTCTTCGTAAAATGTGCAAACTTGTCAATTATGGAATTATAAATTATCATTTTACTAACCTGTTAATGGCGTTTACTCACTACATAATATGTATAATTATTAAAAAAAAAAAAGAAAAAACAGAAGTAATAAAGATTCCAAAAAGAAAAATAGATATTTCGATTAGATAAATAAGAAATTAAAGTTATTTTACAAAAGTTTCGTAAAAACATCGATTTTCAAAATTTGGAAAATGTTCCTCGGGCTCTTCGTAAAATGTGCAAACTTGTCAATTATGGAATTATAAATTATCATTTTACTAACCTGTTAATGGCGTTTACTCACTACATAATATGTATAATTATTAAAAAAAAAAAAGAAAAAACAGAAGTAATAAAGATTCCAAAAAGAAAAATAGATATTTCGATTAGATAAATAAGAAATTAAAGTTATTTTACAAAAGTTTCGTAAAAACATCGATTTTCAAAATTTGGAAATTCATGGTTAAAGTAACATAAATCTTGTAACATTAAAAATTATAAAAAGAAAAAACCTTAAAGAAACTGAAGAAAAGTAAATTGTATGTATTTAATATGGTATATTTGATTTCAGATTATAATATCCCAGAGATGCTTTAACGGAGTATTTTGTTTTTCGTAGTCAGCAGAAAACCGCGGGAATTTTGAAACGGCACATATTTCGAACGTGTCACCCGTTGTACATGCAATCGACTCACACCTTCGTGCAATCACCAACGGACGACCATCTTATTACGGGTGCGCGGTACGAACATGGGTAGCAAAGTGTAAACCACCATTATTATTAACGAAACGTGTAATAAGAGACATTCCGCGTCAGCCCGAGAAAGAATACTGAAACACAATGGAGGATATTGCAGACGCCGGCTGGAATAACATTTTTCGAGGAGTTAGGCGTAAACAGCAATTAGATCCGGTTGTTGCTGCTTTTCAAGAATAATCCACCGTGGATGGTCGATTGTTCTCGTCGATTCGATTTCAATGGAGCTAAACGGCGAAATCACGAGGCAAAACGAAAAGGTTAGTATCACGCAAAAGCTGCGATGGTAAACCAACGGAGCGTGAAATGTATCGAGAGTTTACATTGTCACATAGTGCTAATTTGCAGGAAACTAATTAAATACAAATTTAACACTTCAAAGAGAGATAGGAAAACAGGTTAATTGGTTATATCGTTCTTCGTTAAGCAGAATCGAAGATGAGGTGTAAGTTATGAAACGTTTCAACCTAACCTATCTTAATCATTTTGGATCTTGTACTTTATTTATGTTAACAATTTATTAATATCGATTTACTGTTTATCGAAAGATTTAAAATAATTAATACATCAAATAATGAATTACATGGTAAATTAAACAATAAATTGGGAAACAACTATTAATGAATTATTAATAGTTATTCGATGCATTATTCAATTTATTATGTAATTCATTATTTGATGCATTAATCATATTAAATTATCATTTGCTATCCTTGTTTCATGATAAGGTTCCTATTTCATGATTTGTTAATAATTAGTTTGAAAGTTTCATCCTTTAAACTTTAGCAAACTCATTTCAACTTTCTACTTTTATAATTATGTACATACATTTTTTAATCGAGTTTTAACAACTAACATAACCTAATTATAATGATCTGATATTTAATGACTGGTACAATTTAACTATAATAACTAATTAATTAATGTAATCAATTGTAGGTATTTAACATCTATATTAAATTTACGGTATAAAATGATATTGACTGAGATGAAAGAGAATGATTTCAAGAATGAAAATTCTCGATCAGTAGGTCCATGTGGCTGAAATCTGCTGCAGTGAATACTAATATGTATCGTGCAATAAGCGCATAGACACAGACGAGTGATAATAACAAAATAATGTCACAATGGACCAGAAGGTCTTTATCACGTAAAGTTATATAATGGGTGAGCTATAAAGAATTCACGGTTGTAAACCATTGTGCATATCTTACTCAACGTTTAACTCTCTCGCGATTCGCGTATATTTTCTTGTTTATGGATCAATAAATTTGCGGCGTGGCGGAGAGGAACGGAGGGACAAATGAAATCTAACATCAACCATGACATTGAATAGTACATTCCGAGCTATCCGTTCAGTTACAACGTTTTTCTTTTCCGTTGTATTTTCCTTTACATCATTATTCTCTTTTTAATATCCTGTATTTTATTATTGACGAATTTTATCTTTTTTACGAGTAGATTTTTTGCGATCTTCGCCTTGTACAATGTTTCCAACATCCAAAATATTTCCAAACAAATTTTCACTAATTCGAAAAATATTTTAACATTGTCGAAGTGCGTATCTTTTGTAAAATAAAATAGAATATAGGCAAAAGAAGAAAAAAAAAAAAAAACACGCAAACATAAGGACTTCTCCCAAGGAAGAATTTGAACTTTTTAAAACAATTCCCTCGTGCTAGTAGACGAACAAAACAAATCGACTAACGATCTAAACTTGAGAATCGCAACGACAGTTTGTTTTAGCAATTCCCAGGGATCTTCCTGCGGTGGGATCGGGCGGTGGAGAAAAAGGAACAGCGGGAGAGGCAGGACTACAATGTTTAGACCACGATCAACGCGCCAATATTTTAAACACGGCCCCCCTTAACTTCGCAGGTTCTTCTTTTCCCATATGCACTCCTAATCACGAGTCGCATCGGCAGATATAGCGTGTACCACGATGCACCCCGTTAAATCTCGAGAGGAGATCAAGGGAGAGAGCGAGGGAGAGACATTGAAAAGGGAGGAAGGATGGAAAAACGAGGTGGAGGAGAAGGAAGAAGAGAGAAGGAAATGAGATAGAACGGGAAGAGCCCGGGGTTGCAAGCGACAAGATAGAAGGAGAGAGAGGACATTGTGGCTCGAGGAGGAACGTTGTGAAGCAACGTAAGAGGGAGGAGGTGGCGGTGGCGGTCGCATCGGAGGAGGTGGCGGAGGAGGAGGAGACGGTGGAGGAGCAGAACAGAAGGAGAAGGGGAGAGCGACATTCCAGAAGGCGGCGGCGGCGGTGGTTCTCGTGGGAAACCAAAGAGAGAGAGAGGAGAGAGATCTCGTCTCGAGGAGAGGTTGCGAGCCTTAAGGCACCGTTCTCATCTCCCGACAAGCGCGACAAGACCGACACAGACTCTCCTTGCCTCGGATGCCGCCGACAATCGTCGAATTTATGATTTCATAGAGACACCTGGGCTCGTCCTGGTAACGTACATACAAAATCTTCTCATCCGCTTAACGACGAACCTAAATGTACAGAACTGAAATCTTTGTACAAATACAAATCTGCGTACTCGTGTATATACAAGCGTGTGTGCATATGTATATATGTATATGTGTGTGTGTATGTATGTATGTATATACAGGTTTCGAAAGGGGTGTCTGGTCAAAGACTGACAAGAAAGTCGATGGTAATAGAATTTCAAGCATTCGCTCCAGGGGATTTATCGTTCCATTAACTGAAACGCCCTGTAAAGGAAATTGGATACAGCATTATTCAGTGTTTCGAGCCGCGCGAACATTTATGAGTGCATTTGATATACTAGCAGTAACAAGCGATAGCTGCGCCCTCGCGTGCGTCCATTCTCTTTTGTTTATTAAGCCAGGATCGACTACTGCGTTATTCCTCTCCGATAAAACGGCGTCGATGCACCGGATTGGTCGGCGTAACGTGATTCCGCTGCAGAATGAAGAAAAGGTGATTACGATAAAGAGCCCCTTGGATCTCGATCGCGTTACACGCAAGAATGAACACGGTCGATGGACCGTGATTGTGTCAAACGTGTTAAAACACGTGTTGTATGTTTCATAGAATAATTTATTTGAAATAAGTTGTAAATTTCTTTTGTACAAAGCGGTCCCTTTGTAAGGATGAGGTGTTATTTAAATGAGTTCGATTCGGAAGATCGTTTCAACTTGTATGTCGTATAAGTTTCGAGCGAGAAAGCTCTAACAAGATGTTACAGAGGCTCTGTGAATCAGCCCTTAGGGTGAATCTTCACGAAGCGCGGGACAAGTGATTTCAAGCCAAACGAACACAGGAGAAGATGATGTTAAGCCCACGAAGTTTTGGTTCATCGCGAGAATGATCGAAGCTCGGACTGTCCTCCGATGTAACTTTCCCACAGGATCTTGTTCGCTGAAATTTAATTCCTTTTTTATAATAACCCTTTCGTATTTCCACCTTTATGATCCATTCCATAATTTTCAGTGATATCTTCTCTGCCGTACTTTCCAACACCATTTTTACAAAAAGGAAGAATGTGATCAGATCATGAAAAGGACTAACACATTACATACGTATATATGAGTTTCCATAAGTACAGCAAAACTAGCAACGTCAAGGGACAAGCTATATTTAAACACAACGTTGGAACGATTAAAGTAAAATTTATGCAACGCATCCATAAAACTCGATCATGCGGCAAGAAGCTCGCAAGGAGGATGTTTGGTTGTTAACGGTTTAATTACTCGCTTAATGTGTTACCTTCGTAATGGGTAGTCAAGACATTTCATATAACAGTCTCCTTATCTCATGCATGGCTGCTCGCCCATGCAGCGACAGCAGCATTGACAACAGCTTGTCATCATGACGGCTGGATGGTATATAGTGGCAATAAAACAGCTCATTATTATTATTGCGATCGTAAGTCAAACTAAGCGTCTGAGCCGTCTGCTCTGCAGCACGATAATCGGTCAGCGGGCGCATTGGCAACGACATTGCATGCGCTTGATTACGCGAAAGGATAACGTCCAGTTAAATGGCGCTCAGAAATTCAACACCAATTCACTGGCAGGAATATCCATTTCTCCGACCGCTGACGTCGCACTACTGTATCCCGAGTCTTGATCCTTACTCTTGTCGAGTGGCGATCGCTCCGCTCGTGTTTCCGTTAAACGTTTCGTCAGGAAATATTATTGGTTATTGTTAATAATATTATAGCATGAATCAATTTACTAGACATCTGCATATGGGAACGGTGTTTGAATTAAGCTTGCGCCTTCGAAAACAAAGATCGACGTCACGAAAGAGGATAGAACGCCTCAAGCTTTTAATTGAAGTTAGATTTATTTCAAAAATGCCACTATTCCAGAAAAATGTGCCAACAATTGGAAGCTACCGGTAATCTCCAAAGAAATCCCGTATGTCCCCGAGACGAGATATCCGAAGCATTACTAACATTCCACGTAAACCAATTTCCAGAAAATTCCCGCGTCCGTTCCTCGAACGTTCGCGGCGTCCATCTCGTCAAGCCGAAGACACGATGGAGTTTCGTCAAGAATGTCACCGGAACACTTGGGGACGAGACAAAAGGTGTGTCCGGCGTTGTGCAATGAACATTTTTGACAAGGGTCACGGTGATACGTGCGCGTGCAGAGGAACACCCTGTATAAGGCAGGGCGCAGAGGAACGCCGGGCCGCGCGATGAGAAGAAGAAGGAGGGAAGAAGGTGGAGAGTTAATTGAATCCGAGCAGCGTATAAGTGGAATGGCCTATTCCTCCTCCGGTTCGCTCCTCTTATTCTTCTTTCTTCCCGCGTGCCTCCTCTCTTCTCTCTCTCTCTCTGTCTCTCCTCCCCCCTGTACCCTTCTTCTACCGTGTCTCCCTTGCCTTGCCTCGCGCCGTCCTTCGTAGCTCCTTGTACCCCCTTCGGACGGGGTACCGAGGTGGATCGGTAGGTGGAAGGACGCCGGAGGACGGAGGGAGGAAGCATTCCTTTGTCTCTGCGCGCACGGACCTAGTTCATATAGTATATAATGTATATAATGTGCATAAAGAGATGTGCAACTATGTAAAGTCGCAACTTGGCCGCGTTGCACCAAAGTACTGTCGGGTACTCGGTTCGCAACAAGTACTGGAATCGCACGACAAGTCGGGGAAGAATTTTAAGTTGAGGTACTTGAAGAATTACGTACTTGTAACTTTTTATTTCATAGATATATCAGGAATATCCCATAATGTAATGTCGTGTTCATGAAATTTAATAAACATTGCCATCTAGATGACAATAATTTAACTTGTAACGCAACGTATATTCTAGTTAAATATATTGACATTTAGTGTGCTTATTATATTATAGATTTGAAACTGTATTAACTCGAATAAAATAAAATTTTGTACAGTGTTCAAAAACGACATTACTTATGGATGCCCTTCCTTTCTTTTTTTCTCACAAATAAATCTTACAAACTGGAGTCCTGAACTAATATTCCATCCTATTTCCAGTTACCAGAAGTTCTCTCGACTCTGCGAGAAAAGCGTATTCCAACGTGAGTAAAATGTGAGTCACGTTCAGCAAATTCTTATCTCTCCCTTTTAGAATATCCTATATATTTTATACTGATTTTCCTCCCGACTTCCATCTGCCAGAAAAGTGTGTTCGGCCGAGACGTAAGTCACGTACACACCGTACTGAAAGCCCGGAGATCCCGCGACACAATACCTCACGGTTGCGTGCACGCGTGCACACGTGTTACAAACAGTTGTGCCACTTGTATTCCCTCTAAGGACGAAGAATCCAGGTTGCGACGAGCTTGGTCGCCAATTGGACTTTCGACCACATGTTTCTCCACGTCTTCTTAAAGATGGTCAGATGTTCTTCGTGTAGGACTGGATACGAGACTCCTCTTCTTACGTGCGGGCATTTGCGAATGATTTTCGTCGATGACAGTGCTGTTGGACTCTGGTCGATAAGAGTCACCCCTCGCATACGTACTCTCCCGCGTATTTACGTACCCCGAAATAGCCGTACCCTCCTCCCTGCTTTGTCAGACGGCCCGGAGGACGAGGATGAGGATGAGGACGCTGAAGAGGTGGACCATGCAGCGAGGCTGGGGCGAGAGGGTGGGAAGCGAGCGTGTATACCGCAAAACCAGTTCGCTGGTGAGTAAACAAAAAACGAGAAGAAGCCAACGCCGCGGCACGGCCTCGTTGTCCGTCGCGAGGGGAAGAGAATCACTGCTTTATTGCTAATTCGAAGACATTCGCCCGGCAGAAATGAAATTTTATAGTCCGCCTTGTGCGAGCCGGGAAAGAGCGCCCGCGTCACCGAACATACATGGGAGCTGGTATATACATCGAGGGGTGCCTGGCCCCTCCGTTACGCTCCTGCCAGGACAAATGCCTCTGCTACGTGGATCACTCGGACGCGAGTCCCTTCGAATTTCGAAATAGGACCCGTCATCGTTACCCACGTGCATATAACCTGCCATCGATGCACCTGAAGGCGAAAATCTATTGAAACGCTTGAAGGAAGTTACAGAAGTTTGACATTTTCGAGCAAGCGAGATGGTCAGTAAAGTGCGAGGAAAAAGGAGAGATTGATGATTACGATATAGAATATTGGGAAACTGTGTATTTAACACAGTGAAGATAGATAATTTAGATTCTTCGTTTCAATTATTTAACTTGCAATTTAATATTTTGGATTGATGTGATTCTCAGAAGCGAGATTAAGAGTTTCAGATATTGAAGGATTTATTGACTAATGATATTAAGGATGACAGGAAACTTGTGCAGCAAATACCAACGCTGGCAACTTGTAATTTGCGAACAAGTTTCAATTATCCAAGAGTGCAATTTTGAAGCTGGTGTCTAGAGTACGACACTAAATTTCAATAGCGTGAAGATGTACCGAGGCACGAAGATCTTCGAATTGCGAGGGGAATGTTACTGAGAAATCTGACGATTATTTTCTCCGAAATCGTTCTCGGTTTCCAACACGGTCTCGAGCGAGAAGGCCCAGCGGGTGGCTCGCGTCACGAGAATGCAGCTCGTAGCGGTGAAGCTCATTACGTTGGCGTGTGCGTAAGAACTTCGTACACGCGATGTAATCGCGCTGATGAAACTGACGCGCCGAGTGATGTGCTACACGGCTCGTCAAATTGGTGAGGAACGTTTGTCTCTTTACTGTTAACAAAAAAAGAACGAAAAGAAGAAAACAAAAAAGAACAAAAAACGAAAAAAAGAAATAAACTTCTTACAAATGACCTTGTACAATCTGAAACATCCTCAGGGGCTGAAGAGGAGAGAAAAGAAGAAAAAAACGTCAGCGTGTCTGGAGAATATGTATCTGTCTCGAAGCGCGGAACGGTGCTGGTTTAAATCGCACAAGAAGATCGAGCAGAGATTACGTCGCGTACGGCAGCCGCTCAAGTGTCGCAGTTGCACGTCGTTAATGCGAGGCAGGTGCTAACGCGGAGAGAAAGAGACGACAGGGAGAGTGAAGGAGGTGGCGGTGAAGGAGAAGAAGAGAAGATGCGCCCGGATCCCGTCCTCCCCCTAATTGACAAATTGGAATCTTATTAGAAGCTCGTGATGCCGGAGGTACCCGAGGCAGGAGGAGCCTGGAGGCTTCCTCGTTGGCTGACAAGAGAAAGACCGAGTAGCGTAAAGGAGATAGAGAGAGCGAGACAGGTAGCGACGGAGTAGCCGTGAAAGACGAGGAGAGAACGAGGGGCATAATGCGTGGATGGCACGACACTAACAGGTTGTACGGCCCACGGTGGAACGGAGAGAAGAAGTACCTTATGCTCGGCCTGCCGGCCGGCAGGCGAATGCCACCCAGGAAGCGTTCGCGCGTGCGCGATCTGTGTGGCCTCGGCTGGACTCGACCACCGGGCCCAGCCGAGGACGCACGAGCTCGGCCGATTTAGCACGAGGACGCCCGAAGCCGACGTGTGCTGGCCCACCCGGTAGAGCGCGCGCGTGCCGCGTCCTGTGTGGTCTTACGCTCGCTTCTTCGCTCTTCCTATTCTTCCTTACTGACTTTCCCCTCTTTGTCACGCTCTCGCCGCGTCCTTTTTCTCACTTCTTTTTCTCTTTCTCTTTCTCCCTCCCTCTCTCTCTCTCTCTCTCCCCCTCCCCCCGTTTCACTCTGCTTCTCCTCTCTTTCTCTCATATTCCGTTTTTTTTTCTTACTCCTCGGGTCGTCCCTCCCCACCCACCTTTCTTTTTTTCTTTTGTTTCTCCCGCGCACTCTTTTTTCTCCTTTTCTGCGGATTCACCGCGTTTTTCTCGTTTTCTCGCTGCTCGCGTCTCTCCTCTCTTTCCAACCGTGGAATTCCTGCTTGTTCCACTGCAAGAACTTCTTGCTCAACTTCGCTCTCCTTCCCAAGCCGACTGTTGCTGCTGCTGCTGCTGCTGCTGCTGCTGCTGCTGCTGCTTCTGCTACTTCTAGACACGGGCTACGTGCTCGTCGTCGTCGTCGTCGTCGTCGTCGTCGTCGTCGTCGTCGTCGTCCTTTCTCTCCCGGCGGATCGCAGCTTCGTCCCCTTTCCCCTC